ACTGTATCACACATTTTCTTTTATCCTTATTCTTCTTCTTTGAGGAAGCTTGTGAACACTAAAACAAAACAATGTAGGGACATGCTGTTCCTCCACCAGATGTAAAGTCTAAACAAAAGGCGTCGTAACTGGCAGGAGGAGTGTGGTGGGGAGAGGGTCAAAGGTCAGCACAAAGGGAAAGATAAACAGAGGAGGACACACCGGTGTGAGCATGTTTGGGTCAACCATCAGGTCCCTACAAGTGAAGATGACTGAAGACAAGTCAATGCTGCCAGAAAATATGTTTTTATACTTGCATTGGCTAATTTGTTTTGTGGGACACTCAATGCTGCCTCAAAATAAAACTGAATGGGTTTGCAGACTGGTCGGTGCAAACATAATTTGTTCACACATTTTAGAGCCATTTGTTTTCCTACCATTTCTGTTCCTCATACTTAAAGCTGATTACCATTGCCATGGTTATGTTAAGGCTCTTATGTTTGTAGAAAGTGTGGGAACTCTTTTGGTTAAATATTAATAAAGGTTCATGCTGACTTGAAGCAGGACACATTGTGTGTTGACTTTTTCATTATCTAACCAAAACAATCATATTTCCTTAACATTAGAGCAGTTTGTATGTATTTTGTTCAAAGTAGAGGAACATGTTGTAGACAAAAAATATTTTGTATCTCATAAACTTGATATGGTGACTGTGTTGCAAACAACAACCTGGGGCAACATTAGCATTCAGCTGGAGTTGTGTTCTTGCCACCTGATACATTTACGTTGGGAATTGCGTTACCCTCCTCTTTTCACTCCATTCACTCTCAAACCCGAGAAGCATTTTTCATTCCCAGACAAATGGGCTCTATCAAGTTGGAGCCATACCACAGCAGGTTAAGCTGCCCCAGGCCCCTTATTGTTGAACTTAACCTGCGGAAGACAAAGTGCTGGTGCAGACGATTACCTCTGTGGCTCCAAATAGCCACCACATGGCTCACAAGGCCGGCATCAGCAACAGAGATGCCAGCAAATGGTCCAAGATGGGCCGGGTCTGGAAGCTGGCCACGGTGCAGCTTCCTTTGAAGCGTCATTAATCCTCAAGTTTGTGTGTGTGTACTTGTGTGAGTATGTGTGTGCTCTTCAACCTAGCTATTCGTGTTAAATCTAAGATAATGTGAGCGTGAGGACATTTTGATAATTTATGTTTTTGTTTTTTGTCAAATTATCTCTTGAAAAGAACAAAACCAAGAGCCTCACTGTGTATGGCACTTCAGATAAATCTTTAAAATGGTTTCATAGATAAATATATAGGCTATGGCTTATTTTTTAAGGCTCAGTAATCCCTTTAAACAGCTGGGCTCTGTTGCTTTTTTGCTAAATGTACTCAGACCGGAGTAAATATAAATGTGCAAGGGACTATTTTCAGCTGAGGATCAATTCACTTTTGAGTATTTACAGCAGCATGAACATGTATGTTAGATAAACTCAAAATAAACTACAATGTCCATGTTCACGTTACTGAAGAAAGATGCCATTCAGTTTAACAGAGCGGCTCAGTGATGTGTTTCAAAATAGTTATTATAGAATATCACTCAACGTATTATTTAAAGGGTCAAATCCAAATCTACAATGAAAAAAAAGTAAACAAATAAATGAAGTCACGGAGTTAAAACATTTTGAAGTGAAAAACTATAGAAAACGTGACCCTTTAACTCTGTTTATCCAACAAACAAAAAAACGGTCAAAATGTCCTTACTTTCCTAAACTGATCTCACTATCAGGATTTAAAACTCAAATGTGTCTTTCCAAAGTTAGCAAAGCTCTCACACACACCTACAGAGTGAAAATACAAGTGGACGTGTGTGTGTGTGTGTGTGTGTGTGTGTGTGTGTGTGTGTGTGTGTGTGTGTGTGTGTGTGTGTGTGTGTGTGTGTGTGTGTGTGTGTGTGTGTGTGTGTGTGTGTGTGTGTGTGTGTGTGTGTGTGTGTGTGTGTGATTCTGTTCAACCCTGCGGACCCCGAATAGTTGTTTTATACAATATCTGTGGCCATGCGTGTGTGTTTCTTTCTTCCAAAAGGCTTCGAGGCATCATGGAGTGATAGAACGTACATGACAACCTCACTTCTAATATTTGCCAGATTTTTTTTGTAGGTATCCTATTCCCTCATGTTAGATAACATGTGTAAACAGGAGCTGCATGAAGGGGCCTTCATGCCTGTCTCTGAGGAAATTGCTTCAAAGATGGATTAAGGCAAAAATGCTGAGGTATTTGAAGAAAGATGTCAAACGACCACAGCTCTGCCCATCAATCCCTTAAAATGTGGGTTAGCAGGTACCTGAAGAGTGTTGTTAACTTCTGTTGGTTAATACTAAATGTCATAAACTGCTTCTGTGAGTCACGTCACAAAGATATTACAAATTTGGAAAATATCAGTTTTCTCATGTAGGGATTTATTTGCTTTTAAGAAAACAACATATTTAGGTCTCAATAATGAAACCAAGATAATTGATAAATGGGAAATAATCTTGTGATGTAGGCTACTTTTACTCATTTAGCAGGACCCCCTACTGTCTTTCAACAACTTTGAGTCTGATCCCTTGCAGTTGAAACATTTCAGATCCTTTTAGACCTCGGTTGTCTCTCTCGCCTTCACAGTACGTGATCTTTCACAGCTTCCATAGGATTATCACCCCAAGTTAACAGGGTCTTTAACAGCTGAATGGCACCAAGAATCATGCTAGGAATTAGCCACCTGCTACCTCAGCCATCCATAGCCACATAGCAGCAGCAGAGAGAGGACTCTTGACACAGGAAGTGCCCTCCTGGGGGCTCAAAAGCTGGCGTCAAACAAGGTTGAGGTCGCTCGCCACCTCGCACACAGGGCTCAGCAGGAAGTGTGGCTTCCTTAAGTCGTGACTGAAGGGGCAGAGGTCAGAGAATGGGACACGCGGATCGTGTTTCTGCCCCAGATGTGGCAGAGGGCGGCCATGGCTCCAGTCTGGAGGTGCCCCAAATCCAGCGTGACGGCAGAAACAGAAACTTTTATTTTGAGAAATGCCATTCCTCTAATAATACAGCAGCGTATTGATCTCTTTTTTTAAAACCTGCATCTTTTCAAGGCTGTGAGTGTGCTATTTTTAAAGCTTCACATTTACACACTTTCTAAACTTGATATATCAGTTTAACACTTTTCCTGCTAGCGACAGACATAGCTGCTTCACAGGAGCAGATTTGGCCTGTTAATATGAAATGTTCTACATGGGCGCCACAGCAGAATAAAGAAAGGAGGTTGCATATGTGTGCATGTCCTATGTATAGATCATGTGAGCCTTAGCATGGCTCTGTTTTGGATTGTGTTTATATTCTCTGTAAAATATTTCCAGAGGATCTGCGTGCGCTGTGCTTCCTCACTCTCCTGTCGACCCTGTCAAGAGTGATGAGCTTGAGAATGAGAAACAGGTGTGTGTGAAATGTGCGGATCACTCCTTTATCTCTCTTTCACTCCCCCCCAACTCTCTCGACCTCTCTGAGACGCTCGTGTTGGGCTGTCTTTTATGACAAAGGGGGGTGAAGGGAGGAGGGTGAGAAGAGAAAACACAGAAGGAGAGAGGATGGACGCTGAGAACGAGCAACACAGAGCTGCCAAATGTGCTTTTTATTCTTTGACTTTAATCTAATATTGTAGAAAACAGCTTGAACAAAAACTGCCCACAGCCAATCAACAAACAAGTTTCAAGCAAGGCTGCAATTCAAGAGAGCAATAAAATAAGAATAACATTAGAAATAGGTCATGTGATAATATGTTTGTCTAAGTTACATGGATAAGTTCTGGTGTTGTTTAGATCTGACTGCAACACATGTGACTATTAACAACATCAAAGGTATAAAGCTGCTATAATCATCTGTGATCTGTGGTAGTTGTGGGGCAATTAAGGCAGTCTGCTAAGATTATGTGTGAAGTGCAGAGTTACGATGAATTAATCAACAAAGTGAGAACAATCTGATTAAGAACAATGACCCAGTCAATTGAATCCAGGTCAACAAAGTAATCTTGATACCAATCAATCTGCATTAATGAAGATACTTTAGAAATACTTAGTAGGTAATTTATTAAACTAAATTAAATTAAACAATAATCTTTTTGAAACTTTGTCTTGGGTGCCATTTAGCCTGAACCTTGGCATGCTGACATTAGCATTAAGCTAAAGCCTCAACAAAGCTACTAGCAAGACTCTGTCCCGGGCTTGTTTTCAGTGGTATTGTTTCGGTAGGCCACTATCAGGCATACTGCAATTTAATAAGTTGATAATAAACATATTTTAGCTTCAGGCATTCTCATATTCTTTCCAAAAAATAAGGAGTAGGCCAAAAATGGCTGTAGGCTAGTCACAGCAGTAGTATGAACAAATCACATACAAGAATCAGGAAAAAAAACACAAGTACTAACATGAAGTAAAAAGTATTCCTAACTAGTTGAAGTTGATAGCAGTCATAAACATAAACTATTTCTTTATAATTTGTATAGATAACTATTAACATCAACTATGTGACTTTAAACAGTAGCTACTGTATAGCCAACTTCAATTAGGCTAATTATTTTAGCCTATACTTTAAGCTACATGTCACTTGGTTTAATTAAACTTTCACCACTAATATCACTATCACTAACTACTGTTTAGGTTATTGAAAGCTAGTAAAGCCTACTTGCAGGATTCTTGTATTTTGTGATCTTCTCGGGTGATTTCACCTGTTGTAAGTCTAGAAAGACGCTCAGCTAACTGAAATGTTATGTCATGATACTATAATAATGTTTAGGAAACCAGATGACTTATTATGATGTTATATTTGACACTGTCCTCTGCCCCCTAGGCCACAGCCCCCCCTCAGCTCCGTGCAGGATGCATAGGAGTCAGTTTACACACAGCCTAATACCTGCCTCCTCCACCCCACCCCCTCTCCTGCAGGGACTCCCTCTTTACGCGCCGCGCAGCGTGCCGTCAGAGAGCCAGCAGGGACCGCAGAGCGCACAGCCGTCTGTCACAGAGCACCTCCGTTTCATTACGGGATTTCAAAGACAACAAGAGTGGATAAACTTAAGCGAACAAGGTGAGAAAACATTTTTAATGGTTCCGTTATAAGTCGATGTGTGAGTCTAGGTTATTTTGTCAAGATTTCCGGGTACCGATCAGGTACATTCGGATAGAGTTGATTCATGCGATCTGTGTGATAATGCGTGTCAGTTTCCCTTCGTTCAGCCCTCAATATGATAAAAATATATAATAGCTTTTATCAGTGAAAGATTGGCAATTGATCGCGCCCTCACTGAACCTTACGGCACAGCTGCAATGAAAAATAACCAACAGCCTGGTAACTGAAAATGACCCAACACTGCTGTGGCAATGAGTGTGGCACTCACTGGCGATTCTTGTGTTTATAAAACCGCTGTATATTATTTTTTACAAGTTTAATCCTAGATCTTATTTACCTAAAAAGTGTGCCTTTTAAAGATATACTAAAACATCACTTTTAGTTTGCCTTCTTAGTCATGCCTGATATCTTTATGGTGTGTTTATGGCCGGTGCCCTCTAAAACAAATCCTCATTGGCAGTGGCCTGTATCTGTGATGGATGGCAGGCTCTTGTAGCCATAAACAACACACCAGGTTTATGGATGGACCCAAAAAATTGTTTCAAGAAGTTGACAAGTGCAGCAATTCATCATCCGCCATGTAAAACTATATGTGGACTGCCTGGTTTAACTCAGCCTTGAAGCCCAGTCAGTAATAGGTGCATGGTATGGAGAGAGGACTGGCCACTGTGCTCTGATTAAAGCAGATACAGTTGACCTGGGGCAGCAGGTTTATCCCATCTTAACTTTACGCTAAATATTTACATCTGGATGAAATCACGGCACAAATGAGGTTCTGGCTTCCAGACGTCTAATCATGGAAGAAACATTTTGTAATGTTAAATTAAAGGAGCATTTTTCTACCTCCAATCAGTGTATTTATGATAAATGCATGCCACGTTTTGTAGTAGGAAAAACAATATAAGACAGTGTTACCTGAGAACTTACAAAGGAACAAAAGTCAGTCGGGGGATCATTATGCAACCCACCCACCAACTGAATAGACAATCACATGCCCTTGGGGTCAACTCCACCTTGACCCACCTCTACTCCTCCCTCCTCCTCCCTGATGTGTTTCATGCAGTTCAGATCGGTGTGGGGTCAGAAGCATAAACAGCTTAGGATCCAGACTAAACAGACCGCACATGTCCTGTAAACACGTTCACCCTGAGATTCATAGGTGTGCACATCTCGGTTGGCATGTGGGCAGCAGCAGGAGGTTTAATTCATGCTTTTTGATGCAGATCATGAACTGGCATGGATGAAACTTTACTTTCCCGAGGCAGAGGTGTTTTTATTTCCCTGCTTAGGACAAAACAGTGTCAGAAAATAAAATAACTGACAACAATGTTTCAAGTTTCAAGGCTTTATGGTCATTTGCACATTAGCTATAGGCCTAGTGTAGATATGGCAATGAAAAACGTAGGTTCACAGGCTCCAACAGTGCAACATATGTGTAGGACATAGAACAAATAAAACAGATAAAATAGTGCAAGAGAATGTTTTGAGATGTGCATTAAGTTGCTGAAATGTCCCTTTGGCTCAGCACTTTAAGGAGTCTATTTAGTCTGAAAAGATAAACTTACATAAGATTGTTTATTTCATAGATGGGAGTGCTTACCCTTAAGGTACTTGTAAAATGTAATGCATGACGTACAATGAGTTACTCGAAGGTAGATTCATGCCCATTAACTTTGTACCTTTCCATGATGCAACTTTTTTTGTTGAAAGTTTAAAGCCCACAAATCTGACCCAGCTTGCCTGAAAGCTACTGTGAGTCATGGATCATAAACACCTACAGCCAGCATCAATCCTTCATATTGCACTTGTTTGAACGCAGGATACAAACATCTCTCAAACTGAATTCCTACCGGCAAAATTACTGTGTGGAGCGGTCGTAAACAGTTCCCCCCCCCCCCTCCCTTCTTTTTCTCTCCCGAATCATGTGGCAATGCGCTAATTTTGCAGCTGTAATTCGGTGTGTTTGATGCTGATCCCAGCGGAGCAGACGAGAATACTTCCTCCCCTCGCAGAGCGGAGCGCCCGGGGGCACGGAGCTGCTCGCTGCAGTCTGCGTCTGGGGTGTTGACAGGAGGCCTGACATCATTAACATGACTAAATGAAATGTAATTAAGGTCTTTGCCTTCCCCGCTTTGCTCCTAGCATGAGCGGTGATATTATAGATGATGATGGTTCAAAGCCTGGAGAATTATGTGGACTTTTGAAACACTAAACTTATTCATGAATATTCATGCACCCAACACTGTTGGTGTCTAAGCAGAAGCCAATCAGCCACCATATCATTGACCTGTGCATGATCTAGCACAGGTCAACGATATGGGAGTTTCTTAGGAGATATAAAAGCACACCAGGGCTTATCTTAGTCTTTTATTTTCCAATTTTCTCCCCTCAAAACAAAGCAGTTTTGAGTCTCAACGAGTGTATAATCTGATCGGTCTAAGCCACATCAATGCTGACTTCGGAAACGAGCGGAAGCCGCACGATATTTCATGGTTTTAGTTCACAATGGGCCACTCATGTGTTTCTTATCACTTCAGTTCAGCTGTACCGCAGTCACATTCAAAGCATGGTTTTGCTTTCCTGCAGTCTTAAACACATCACATTTTAAGAGCACGGATGTCAAACATGTGTTATCTTTAATCCCCTTTTTGTTGCATGGTTACGTGTAAAGACCCCAAGTTATGGCGAGAAGCTCCAGTTTCTAATTAGAGAAGAAAACGTACCCTGCTAATGACATCATCCCCCCCCCCCCCCCCTGGCGCTGTGTGTGTGTGTGTTGCTGAACAGCAGCTGGTTTAAGACATTTGAGGATCACAACAGTGTGAGACTTCAAACACTCACACAACCGTGAGGCTTATAATTTAGCTTTATTGCTACTCATGGCCTTGTTTGGGCCATTGTAGAGACTCTCCCTGGGAACTTCCTTTCTGACCATTTTCAGGAAGCACAGTTTTGAAAAGAGGAAGAACTTTTCGATAAAAGTCACGGCTTCTCAGTTACATCCATCAACAAAACAGCAGAGAGACATCTTGTGGCAAAGTCATACCTTCTCCTCAAAGGGATTGGTGGCTGAAACAAAAAGTAAGACCTACCATCTGCTGTAGGTACCAAGCTAGTATTTCTCCTGTTTTGTAAACACCCGAGTGTGGAATCATCGAAGTTATAATTTGATGAGCAAAGACATATTTAAAAAAATGGTTGTAGCTTTTTGGATTGAAACCCTTCCTTGTTGGCTTATCTCTTTAAAGATTTATGATGCTGCACTCTCAAGAAATGCCTTTGAAATCATTTTACTGCGCTGGCAGAAATGAAAATGTGCACCAAATGTTCCTATTTGTTGTTCCTTATTATCATAATCAGTCTTGTCATTCTCTGAGGGCCTGCTCTTACATCACTTGTATTTCCAATGGGCTCAATCCATAATTCACCGTGAGCAACAAAAGCATAAGACATGATCTGACAGATGTCCGTCACCTGACAGTCCCCTGTGATTGGGCGACAGCTGTGAGAGCAGCCCTTCTCTCCGATTGCTCTCACATCCCCGTAATTGTTCACAGTCTCTGTAGCTCTGCCACATCCCATCACACTCAGCCGCGCTGTGTCCGCTCATCCATGAGGAAGATGACACAGGCCCGGACAATCCCTCCGACGCGTTGGAGGGGGGGGGGGGGTTCGATGCAGCTCCACAAACTCTTCCGGCTCCCCCAGATGTTTTCTGATTCTGACAGGAGGCGAGGAAGGGAGGACGGGAAGAGGGACGAACGGCAGGGTCTCTTTTTGGAGGCACTCGGGGGGGATGTTTGCCGAGAAGCAGGTCGGTGCATGGGTAATGAGAGAGGACAGCTGGCAGGTTCAGGGGAGGGTAACAGCTAAGGGTAGATGGCAGCGAGGAAAAACACAAGAGCTCAGCTGAGGGTGAGAGAGAGAGAGAGAAGCTTTTGTTGTTGTTGGAAAGTTTGGGAGAAATGATGCTTGATTCAGGTGTTCACTTTGAGATGGTTGCAAGAGATTGTATTTAGAGTTAAGGCCCTGAATACCTTTTTGATTCGTCAAAGTGCGATGGGGCATCAACATCAAATATTTGGGCCAATGTTTTGTTTATTTTACACGAGAGAATTATGTATTGATGAACTGTATGTTTTCCTTTCTATTCTCCCTTGCATGAAGTAGGGCTGCTCGATTATGGCAAAAATCATAATCTCGATTATTTGGGTCAATAATTGATATCACGATTATTAAAAAAACGATTATCCATTTACTTTGAAAACATCAATTTATTGGAGAAAGAAATGTGAACAGTATGTTTTGAACAGTTGATTACCCTGAACTTTAAGTATAATTCAACTGAAAAACCAATTTAAAAAAAAATGAATTTGAAAAAGAAAAAAAAAAGTAATAATAATAATTAAAAAATAATCGTTTTATTTCGATTACGTTGTTTTCGTAATTGTTGCAAGCCATAATCGTAATTGCGATTAAAATACGATTAATTGAGCAGCCCTAGCATGAAGTATACAGGACTCACTTGGAAAAAGATGACAATTATTAGTTTTATTGCAACTGTTTTGAATTTAGGCGTTGTGGGGTTGTGTTACAGCATTGTTAATTAAATGTACACAACAAGCAGATAAGATCGTTTTTGAAAAAACGATATATATGAACTAAAGGGTTTTTTCCCAAGCTTTGACTTTGTGTTATTTAGTCATGTGTTGTTAAAGAGGAATACTTCAACTTAAACGTTTTTAGAGGCTTTAATAGCATACTTTACTGTAATGCTATAGCTAAAATATATGCCCTACTTCCGATAAAACGAAAGTATGTGCCTCAAAAACCAGCATTTAATCTAGCAGCCTGCATTTTCCTGTTTGTTTTGTTTGATAGTTTGTTTGGGGCACTTTATTTAATCAGGAAATGAACCTGATCAAACAGTGTTCTGCTGTGTAGATAGCTAATCAATG